ACTGACCTCCTTACACCTGGAGGTTTCAGTGGGTCCATACCATCTCCATGTACTTTGGTGTGCCGTTAGCCTCTAATATGAGCTGTGCTGCTTCTGATGAGGCAATTTTGTTGTCCATTCTCGCATTAAGTGAGACATGCTCAATGCTTGATGCTCAACCCTGTCAATCGCTAGGTATCGCACCAGACCCTATGCTGCTCAAGTTTGCCGTCCTTTACTGTCACCCGACCTTTTACGTCGTCACTATTCCATCTGTAGCTGGCCCATCTTCGAACACTCAACTTCTGCACACTGCCTGCCTAGAACAGCTGGCGCTGTAGAAACCCCAACGTCCCCATTAGGAAGAGCCATATGTTTTCCATCCGCACGCACCTTTTCACGGAATTCACACAGGCGTTCGTGGTTATTTACATTTTTTAGCGTTACAGTTGAATGCGCTATGTTGCTCGGTTATGAATATTCTGTGCTCTTCTGTACCATCTGAGTTGAAATTTTTTGGTGTGCGATTACGAAGCTATCAGAGTTCGCATACTTATTGTTACAGCTTTGAAGGCAAGTACTGTAGGCTGTCCTGGAACTTCAGTTTCGTTTTTACACTGTAAAAAATTGGAAGCACTACGACCTATGGTAGGGGGGGGTTCGATATAATCTCACCAACACCACACGTGAGAATGGTATGGTCACCCAAGCACACCCCTCCACCCCTTCATCACCTTTACCACGAACTCCCGCCATCATGATTGTGCTTCGGTGTTTACTTAATTTACCAACGACTATGCACGTTTTTGATTACTTCGCGGAAAATTGTCAGAACCTCGGTCGAAGCTGGAACCTTGTGCCACTACCCAATCTTTCCTCCTCCCAGTGCGACCCCACTCGCAATTTTCTGAAGTGGAAATCATCTGCGTCGGCAGTTAACCGTAGGATTTTCGCCTGTAACTGGCTTCCAAATTTTTGGGAAGATATATCGTTTAAAAAAGTTGTCCTTCCGATTAAGCAGAAAACCAATCCACGGCTTAGCCATTCTGTCGTTATGTACGGATCATGCGAGTCGTGCTAATAATCGCTGCCATCTACATGGAATTGTGCATGATCACGTGTGGGCTCGAAATGATCGTTCATCAAGAGGTGTACACGGTTGGTTCATTATTAATAGTAAATTAATATTTATAAGTATAAGTTTATAACGCCTGCGGAAGGCAAACGTGACTGAAATAACGTGCTTATCAATTGTTTTAGTTCAAGGGAATATTCAGGAAGCCTCCTCTATGTAGTTCACGAACTCAGTCAACTTGAAGGCATTAGAGCCATGATGAAAAAACCGCAATGTGACTACCGAACGCTTATACAAACATCCAATTGCGTGAAACCAAATATAATATGGTTTTTGCTTATCAGTCTTAGAAAACGTTAGGACCCGGCATTGTTCAGTAGCAAGTTAACTATACGGCGCTTGAATTGTGCCAGCGATAGGGAGCCGGGTATATTTTTCACTAGTTTCAGATAATCACTGCCAGCCCTGAAAGTGAAGCTCCTCGCTCGCAAATTAGTTTTGGGTCGTGCCAGCGGATCTTCAGAGAGCCTCCTTAAGTTCTCCAATTCGGTCACCATGACTTTGTAGTCACAAGGCTCCTACGGACCATTAGAAAGAGAAATCTTCCAATCTAGGGATTCTTGAGCATTTTTTTTTTCAGTTCCATTTATTCCTTGTTGTATTTTGTCACAGGAATTGAGCGTGGCCTAATTGATTGAATTAGGGCGTTAATAAAGTAACCAATAAATATTGTCGTTAATAATCGCGGAAGAGTGTTGCTGCTTGAAATGAATAAAAAAATAGGGAGTTGCGAGGAACTTACAGTGAACCCACCTTTTAGGATAAGAGCGATGGTGAGCAATGGAGTAGTGCCGTCCTTGAAAATAGGGTTAACCTTCCGTTGTGCCACATTCAGCGAGGGTTTCGCATTGGTGACTGTAGGCGCATTTTCAGGAGTTTTAAGGGGTCGTATTCGAGAAGTGCAGAGAATCGTGTTAGGGAATGTTGAAAGGTTGTATTATATTATATGTGGTGGGTGGAAGTGGTGCAGTGGCAAGTGGTACGCTTACCACGCGAGCGGTCCGGGATCCTGGGTCGTGAGTCGCCCGGGCCAACCAAGCCTTCCATCCCTCCGGGGTCGGTTAATTGGTACCAGACTTGTCTGGGAGGATAAAAACACTGACTTGTACATCGGCTGGCCCCCGCAAGTCATTGTAGGCCACATCGCATTCAAACGCCACTACGAATGTACAAATGGAAGTAGAATGCGTGCCGCATCCCAAAAACGGGATTGATCAACGGCAAATGCTTTTAGCTTTAGCTATTATTATAGGTGGTAGAAGGAAAAATTGTTCCATTGGCGATTTATCACGAAAAAGGCATGAAGTAGGCGAACCAGAGAGTTTGCCGTTTCTTCATCCATATTTTCGGGGAGAGGGGGAGGCGTATCGGGACCGGGCTGGTAATGGAATTGGTGTTCGTGTCGAGAATTCCTTAAGAAGTTAGTAATTCTGGATTCGCACAACGGACGGTTGTTCCTTCATGGAGGGTGAAAGGAGCGAACAGGAAGTAAAGCTCATAACATAATGGAAGTTTTTTTTTGAAAGTAGTCATAGTTTAGAGTTTGACAAGGTTTACTCAATCTTGATTAAGGATTGTTTATCGCGGTAAAATTTTTCATTAGTTTGAGTCTGTTTTAGGTAGCGGTGCGAAATGTCAATTACGCAGTCGTTGCGAGGAAGGAGTAGATGTTCGCAGCCTTCCCCCAAAACCTCGTATTCTTCCAGAAAATTGGGGAGACAGAAATCGAACAAGCCACAGGAACAATATTCAAGTGCTTCACCATCTTGATCCGCATTTGTTGGCGTCAGTTCTGAACAAGCAAAAGAAAGAGAAGTACAGTAAGCTGAGCAAAACTATACTGCCCGCGAAGACACGTACAAAACGATGGCGAAGGAGCGCAGAACGAGGTGCTCTATTCAAGCAGAGACGTCAACAATACATACGACAGTTGGAAGCGCAGTGTTCGGCTGTCCACACGTTCTAAATTGGCTGCTATGGCCGCTTCATTAGAAGCGCAGTGTTCGGCTGCCACACGTTCTAAATTGTCTGCTATGAGCGCTTCATTCAGTCCCGTTCCTTTGATGCAGCAAGCACTCCCAGATCCAATCGGTCGGGATGAAGGTTCATCAACAAGAAAACGTGACGAGAGCAACGGCAAGCCTCAATCTCAAAAACCTAGGAAAAGAGGTGAGAATAGTAAAGGTCAGGAAGGATTATTACAGTATATAGTACGTAATATTGTGATTATTATACATAGTATTTATTACTATAATTGATTGTTGGGCACACGAGTAGCTGCGCTGCTACGGTTTCTATGGTGTTACAGGTTTGCATTGACACCTACTGCCCAATATTTAGGCAGTCTAATAATGTGCACATGGGAAACCAGAACTTGTATTTCACATCATCTCTACCTCAGTGTTCACCAAAATCCTCTCATCAAGTTTGTCCTTTTGTATAGGACTGATTTTCACAGGGAAGATTTGAAAGATAACGTGTCGAGAGGTTCACCCGAGAGGAGTTATCGCTCGTTTTGGATTTGGGATAAAAGCAGCTGGAGTGCTTCTATTGTTTCCGAAAACATGTACAAATTTTGAAAAATGTTAATCAGAATTGGAATTCGGCGACTTAATAAGAAACATACAAAAATCGAAGTACAAGAGAGGAATGGTTTGATGTTGAAGGTACATTTCTTCTTTCATGGACATTCACAACCGAATGAGAAAGCGTTCTCTGTAAACAGCAGTCAGTAACAATATATCCAATCTAGATCTAATTATCTACATATTATTGAAGGCAGTGATAGCAAACTGTTTCTAAAAACCGCCGCAGGGTGATTTTCTACCGCAGTTCCGAGTCCTGAACCCATCCAATTTGATATCATTCTGAAAAAGCACTGATAGAAATGGAATAAGGGGTTCTCTCATTACCACCCTATTCTTTGGAACTTGCTCGAAATGGCTGTTTTTTTTACCTATACGAAGCAACGCGAAAGAGAAGCTTCACAATTTGGGTACCCCCAAGAGGCCCGTCCCGCGTAAAGAGGGCAGAGTCGCGGACGAGTCGCTGCGCATGATGTGCGACATAGGACGTGCAATGGAACATTCTCTTTAACTTGACGGCGACGAATCCCTACAGTACCGCTCGCGCAACGGGGTCGCTGATATTCTTGTCGCGGCGACGGGCCTCCTGGGGGTACCCACAATTTGTGATCTTCAAGAACGCCACTTTGGGGTAGCTAAAAGTAATAGCTCATTGAAAATGTACCTACTCATACTGTACCCATTATTTGCTATAAAAAATGATAGAGAAAAGTAGTGGCATTCAAAAACACAAGCTTTAGATAGTGTGGCTTGCGCAATTTCGCTATAAATGCTAAAAAAAAATGCCAAAAAACAGTCGGAGGTAATGAATACCCTAATAGCAACATTTGACCTTAAATTAATGCAAGTAAATGTATAGTAGCTTTAAGAGAGAAAATTAGGCTTGATTGCAATAGTTCCGTTTGTTTATCAGGTAGTCATGCAAAAGCAAGATCTTATAGATCACTGTTTCGCCCTCTAGCTACATACCCACCTAGGCTACATAATTAATTTGCCTATGCCTATGTCCAGCTCTTTGTTAGAAACAAAAGCCACTGCTAGATTGACAAGTGCAACAGAAATGAGGCAGTAGGGGCCGGGCCGCAACTGCGAAAGTTCCACTATTGTCATGACTCGAAACTTCGAAAGACGTAGGAAGGACGTAGAGGACGGCCACTGTGCCACGGCTGTTGCTGTGCCTAGGTCTTGTTCACTTATTTATGCTCACTTGTTTGCAATTGTAGTTCTCTTGCAGCAGCGCCCAGTATTTCCGCTCTCTGCTTCTCTTGTCTTCCATAGCGACTGTGAAGAAGAGTACCTAGGTCCCATCAGCAAGGTAGGGGGAAGCATGTGGCAGTTCTTGCCGGCTACAAAAGTTCCAATTTTTGCAATGGGAAGGGATCTCCGGGGTGCGTGAACCATTCCGCTGACCTATGACACCGACCACGGAGCTCCCCTTCCCCGCAAAAAGCGGGTAACCTCATGCGGTATGGACTGTCACAACACATGCTCCCCCCTTTACTAGATGAGACCCGAGGGCCTTTCCTTTCAGTGTATTTGAAGGTTCTTCTTTTTTCTCTTCACTGGCACTTCACTTTCATCTATATCTTCTATTCTAGCTGAATTAGCTCAGAAACTTGAGTTGTATAGTTGTTCCGCTCGAATTTGTTTGCGAGCGAACGAAGAGCTGTGCCTTTAACATTCGTTCTTATGGCTCCTGCAGCTAACATCAAGTTTCGACGTTTCAGTGAGATTCGCTGCAGTGGTGTCGTCAACGGAAGCGTGCAAGAAGAAATTGTTTGAATAAGAGGGGCTCACACACTACTCAGTTTAAGAACAAGGTGCGGAGTTGTGGTAATTGTGTTTATGTGAATCTCACACAATTGCAGGCAGTGGCGGACACGGTAAGTTTCGCACTTTGTCTCGCTTGAGGGGCGGGTTAAGTCGCGCGCTTTGTCTCGCTCAGGGATGGGCATCGAGGCAACATGAAATTTTACTCATTGAATAGAAGTATTTTGCAATTTTTTTCCAAACCCAGGCATGATAGTAATCGCAATGATTTCTACTTTCAGGAACCTACCTAGTTTTTTCAAGTTCCGAAGTTATTTTTGTAAACTATTATAGTTAACTAAACGCTATTACGTCATGATACAAATCTATTTATTTAAAAGGTCATATCTTTCTTCGATAGCTTCTCATGAGTTGATATATCAAAATTCAATAGTTTTTTTTTCAGATTGTTTTCTTTCTATAGTCTTTCAACTGTTACAAATGTTTAACTCTTCGAAGACCGCTACGATTTTCCGTTTTTTGTACACACGCGAGTTTTCATCATTCAAACGTTCATAACTTCCTTCATATTAACTTTTTGCAGATGTCTGAAACTAAGTTAGAAACTATTAGGTTGTCCCATAATTAGTGAATCACTTTACATTTATTGTTATTAAAAATCCAAGAAAAATGGTGAAGGCATGAAACATGTTTTGCGAAGTAGCATCCACATTATCCTACCTGAGCGATTACTCGGCCCATGTACATGCTGCCTTCCGTGGCTGATACTTCAATTTTTCTGGAACCTATTTTTGAGCTCCCCTCTTAATCACTTCTGATTAGGATCTTTCATACGCCCAACAACATAGAGAATCAACCAGCGGATAGGCGAGGGCACGCTCCCTCAATCCGCGGTCTGCTTGTAATTCACTCTATCGAGAGGTTGGCTTTTTGAGTTGAAGATGACCCACACTCCAACTACCCCTCAAGTGGCAATCTCACTGCTGTACCCAGCGCCACTGAGGGTGGATCTGGACAAACTTGTCGCCATTTGCTGGAGCATGTCCGGCTTATTAAACTGATGGAATGTAGACATCTACGTAGAGTTGTAAAGATTTTAAAATATTTAGTTTGTATCTTGTATGCTGTGAGCCCGAAACAGCTCCACACACGATCTGACATCATCATGTTCCTTCTGATCTCCCTTAGTTCCTTACAGTGATCATCCAGCATATGCATCAGGGTTCTGGACTGGGTGAAGTGTACTAGCAAATCTCCAACAAGCAGCAGCTTAGCATGAAGGGTTCGGGAGTTCTGACAGCAAAAGCCGAACCTCCTTTGAGTCCGACCCTTCCGAGATATTGTATGAGCACGAGAGTGACCTTACGCTGGGAACCGCCGCCCAGTAATACTAGGGTCACTGAAGAAGATCAACATCTACAGCGCAATGGCGACGCGTTCAATTTGAAAGTAAAGCAAGACAAAGTCTGCTTTTTTCCTGAGGTCGTTCGACCCCACCTTGCGGAGAATATTCATAAAAAATTGGAGACTTCCAGGCTAGCACTTCTTTCACCTCCTATATGTGGCCCTATCCTCGTGTCAACAAAAGACAACTCAGTCTGACCTCTAGCGCTCTTCTCCAGGAAGAAACTTTACGCTAAGTGACATGACCTCAAACTCGACTTCCGATCTTTCTTCGATCAATAGCTCCTGGAATTCTAGAGATAAGACAGCAACTAAATTTCCTTGTATAGGCAATACATTGTAGATGACAGAGATGTATGTTTGGATGAGCAAGACTCCACATAAAAAAGAAAAAAATTTGAATTCAAAAATACCCAAAGTGATTCACTAATTATGGGACAACCTAATAGAAGCATAGGGCTTCTACAATTCCGAGCAGCATTGAAACGTTCATAAATTCCTCCAAATTTAATTTTTGTGAGCATCTCTGCGCTGAAGTAACGTTAGACAGTAGACGATAGGACCTTTCGAAAATTCAGGACTTATTTTTTTTCAGGAAATTTTTTTTTAAAAATTTCAAAATTATTTAGTTAAGTTGTTGTTGGAAGTAGTTGGAAGTTCATCCTCCTTTGTCTTTTGCCATGCCTTGGTACCTTCAAATAGTCAGTAGTACTTGAGCTCACGCCCCCCCCCCCCCTCCATTGGCCGAGACTACCACTTCGTTGATTTTTGCGCAAAGGGCGGTTGTCCTTGTTCTCGAAACGACCCCTCACCACCATCAGCCCTAGAAAGTCCTTCAAAGAACGCGCCCTACCTCATCAACGACCACAACCCCACCATCGAGCGACTTTTTTCCTTTTTTTCCCAATGTTTGAATTGCTTGAAAGTTTTTGTGAAACAGCCCAGCCGAACATGCCCAACTATACCCACTTTCTTTTTCCAAATCGTTGCGTCGAGCGGAGCGGAGCGGGGGACGGGTAAATATGCGTTATGCTACTTCTTCCATTCCCCCGAAATCATCACAACCATCAAAATCGACTTCTCCCTCTCTCCTGCCACCAAAATCCATCCACATTTTAAAAAATCCCTAAACCATTGACTATCCAATCCCTCGAACCCTTACTGCTGCTGAGCCGATGTATTGTTGGAACAAGATCAAATTGATGTC